TGGATGAATATTTTTCAATAAACTTTTATAATTTGCCTTTGGTAGATGGTTGCGCCTCGTTCTTCGCCTCTAAAGTATGTAGAATATATATTTTTAGGTCAAAAGGAGGTCTCCAATATGTATTCTGCTGTTAGGTATTTGTAGGAGTAGTAAATTGGTTGAAAACCATGTCCAAATTGATTTCCAAAAGAGTTCCAATCGAATAAAGAAAGTTATCTTCGCGCGTGAATTTTTTCTTAGCATAGCAGTCAGTATTTTGGCCATAAATTTCTCTCTCGATATTCGATTGAGTCGATTCAAGATGCGTTGAAAAGATAACACAAAAGGATATAACTTTTCTAGACATAGAATATTTCTAATTCAGACGTTTACTATGCCAAAAATTGGTCTCAACTTTCGTGTAAACATTTGGAATATAACCTTTGAGATTGGAAATTAATTTTGATAATATTTTGATCATATTTCATTCCTTTTTGAATTCCAATTCCATCTAACCGTCTCGTAGCAATCTTTAAAGTATCATCGTGTGGTCCGAATCAACTATTGAATGTTTGCAATTCGGTCATCAAATTTTGTATTAGATACAATTGAGCCATTTTTCGCATCTTTGTATTCTTTTCTCCAAATCTTTATCGAATATTGAGTTTTACCTACAAAATGAAATATAACACAAGTTAGATAGTATTTTATCCAAAAAGAAAGTAAAATATCATCATTTAGGATCTCGAATAAGTGTAAAAACTACAATTACCAATTGCCCCCACTGGTATGGCGTTGTAGTAAAGCAGGATGGTTCTTCACGAAATATCGGAGGTTCAAATCCTTGCAGCAGTTGGAAGACAATATTTATATTGGAATGCAGATGTCTTGTCACTACACCAGAAACCGCCTATGGCAATGCGCGAAAAACGTTGCCATAGCCTTTTGGCAGTGTTCTTATCTTTTGCAACTCTCAATGCACGTTGCAAAAAATCTACGCCTCTATGGCAACATTGAGCATCGCAACGCACGCACGAACGTTGCAAAAGGGTTTTCGCAAAGTTTTTTTTACATTTGCGATAGGTCATTTTACATTTTTTTAAATTTTTAATTCTTTTA